AACACCGACCTGCAAGGCGAGCCCTTCTTCTGAGCAGGGGCTAAACCCTAAACCCTAAACCCTGAACCCTACATCCTAAACCCTAAATCCTAAACCCTTAACCCTTAACCCTAAACCCTAAACCCTATAAGCCCTTAACCCCTAATCGTTAAGCCTTAACCTGGCCTCGACAGCCCGGCCGGTCCAGATTGGCACGAGCCTCCACAAGCAAGCGGGTGACATGCGCATGACCTCTGTCACAGCTGTGGAAAAGAGCTGTTCCGCCGGAGTCCTTTCGGGTTTAGGGGCTTCGGGTTTGGGGTTTAGGGTTTCGGGTTTCGGGTTTAGGGGTTGAGAGTTTCGGGTTTGGGGTTCAAGGGTCAGAGGCTTCGGGTCTGGGGGGTTAGGCTTGAGGAGCTTAGGGTGGAAGGTCCCCCCGAAGTCCTCCACGTCCATGTCAGCCTTCGCAGCCAACAGCAATCCCACCAGCTTCCGGTTGCCCTTGCGAGCTACACCTAGGTTGGCCCCTCAAAGCCTCTGAAAAATACTTGACCCTAAACCCTAGACCCCAACCTGCCCTAACCCCCATATTTCTAAATAAGACCCTCTGAAGCTCAATAAGGGAAAGCATAAAATGTCCCAAAGGCCTACCCAGACACAGAGCAGAGCCGTGTGGCCAGCAGAAGTCCTCACATCTGCGTCTGCACGAGCATCTAGAAGCAAAGCTACAATCTCAGGGCGGTTCCGGTGTGATGCGCAGAAAAGGGCCGTCTGACCCTCCTTGTTTTGCAGGTCCCTGTCAGCGCCCATTTCCAACAGAAGGCGCACATTCGTCTCAAATCCATTCTGGGAAGCCAAAAACAAAGCGGTGTTGCCAGCTTTATCCTGCAAGTTCGGGTTCGCGCCGGCTTCCAGAAGCAACTTCGCAATAGATGGGACAGGTGGGCTGTAACAATCGGACATCAGCGCTGTTCGACCATCCTCGTTCGTGAGATCTTTATCCGCGCCAGCTTCCAACAGCCTGGGTTGTTGTGAAGGACTTCCATTCCAGTTGCCAAAGTTAAGGAAACCATATTATTTATTTTCGATCCGTGTTAGGGAGGCTGAGGGCAACCCTAAAGCCCTAAACCCTAAACCCCTAAACCCTGCACCTCACACCCTAAACCCCTAAACCACCTTAAATATTAAACCCTAAACCCCTAAACCCCTAAACCCCTCAACCCCTACACCCTAAACCCCTAAATCTCTACATTCCTTAACAAAGAGCCCAGCCGCAAACGCACAACGTTCGCTTGGCGTGTCCGGGCTGCGCAAATGAGTGGAAAACCCCTGGACCAGCCTGGATCTTCCATGGGGTTTAGAGGTACACGGTGTAGGGTTTAGGTTTCAGGGGTTTAGGATGATAGGGCTAAAGGGTTTAGGGTGCAGGGTGTCGGGGTTTAGGGTTTAAGGGCTTAGCGTTCAGGGAACAGAGTTTAGGGTTTAGGAGTCTAGGGTATAAGGTGTGGAGAATTAGGGTTTAAAGGTATAAGATTGAAAGGGTATATATAGGATTTAGGGCTTTTTGTTGTTTAGGGGTATAGCCCGGATCTTCCAACGTCCCTTTAAAGGTTCTTCTAAGGGCTCCTTTAAGGGTTTCTTTAAGGGTACTCATTAAGCAATATACCATAAATCCTGTTCGGGATCCGACTATACCCTGAAGTATGTTACTTATTAAAGAATATGCCCTAAATCACATATTAGGGATCCTACGAGAACATAAAGTATATCCCATAATTAATGAGTATACCATAAAATCAAATTAGAAATCCTACTATAACCTAAGTCTGTTCCCTAACTAAGGAAGATGCCCGTAATTGTTTTTTAGGGGTCCCCCTATAACTTACTTCCCCAATAAGCTAGGGAAATAAAAGGTTACACTTTCAGATTGCCCAAAGAGTTTAAAGGTTGGGTATTGGAGAACAAGATAACTTGAGGTATGCCCCTTAGTTACGGGATTTGGATAGTTGTCTAAATTAGGGTCCGTTTTTGTAAGGGTCCAGTACTCTTTTGGGGACAACCCTAAACCCTAAACCCTGAACCTTAAACCCTAAACCCTGAACCCTAAACCCTAATTTAGAGAACTACCCATTGGGGACAACCCGAAACCCTAAACCCTAAAACCCTGAACCCCTAAACCCGAAAACCCTGAACCCTAAATGCTAAACCCTAAACCCTAAAAACCCTGAACCCGGAACCCTAAACCCTAAACCCTCATTTAGAGACCTACCCATTTCGGAGATCGGGGAGCCTCCCTTGGCGTTCTTGTCTGCCCCAGCTTCTAACAGCAGGCTTACCACCTCAGCATGGCCTCTCCTAAGTTTGTCTCACGGAATGTCGGGTTTAGGGGTTTAGGGTTTAGGAGTTGAGGGGTTCAGGGTTTAGGGGTTTAAGGGATTAAGGTTTAGGGGTTTAGGGTTTAGGAGTTAAGGGGTTTAGGGTTTAGGAGTTAAGGGATTAAGGTTTAGGGGTTTAGGGTTTAGGGGTTAGGAGTTAAGGGATTCAGGGTTTAGGGTTCAATCTAAGATGCCATAACTGGCATCTTTGGTAAGTATTGTGATGTCTTTATTAAGTCAACTTAAACTGAATTCCTTAACAAGAACCCAGTTTCTCGCATGCACAGTTCAGAGGTACCCTAGCGTGGCGCATCGGTGTGTCTTCATTTGGCTGAGCACCGGCGGCCAAAAGCAGCCGGGCAAGCTCTGCGTTACCTTTCCTGAGCTCTTCTTGAGGAGATTTTTGGTGGTTTAGGGTTTAAAGGGCTTTAGGGTATCAATGTTTATGGTGAAGGCTTTCGTAAGTTTGAATAACAGGATAAGGAACATGGCTTTCTTAGGGTTGAGATGTCCCAAAACCAAACTCAGTTTCTCCGCTGCCAGCGACAAGGGGGTGTGCGAACTTCCCTTCAAGTTTGGCGCTGCCCGTCTTTGCAACAAGAACTCCACAGTAGCAAGATGGCCATGAGCACACGCATGCATCAGAGGGCCTTAGTACGTAAACAGGGTTTAGGGCTTAGGGTTTAGCTATAAGAAAGCAAGAATACGGAACCCTAAGGCATCATGTCACGCATTCTGCAGGCTTCTGTAGGAAGCCAACAAGGGGCGATTGAAATTCCACCGTTTCGGCTTCGAGAATATGATCCCTGGTCTGGGGACCCCATTACGAGTTCCCTAGAGAACATCACTAGCTACACACCCAGGCTTCCCATGCTCCTTAATATCCCCTAATAACCGCTGGCTGCTTATAAAATCCCGGTTCGAAGTATCAAGGCCCGTGTATCATGGAACCGATATAGTATCCCTTTAAAGGAGCCCTGATCCCTAAACCCCTAAACCCTAAACCCCTAAACCCTTCAAAGGAGCCCGGAGCCCTAATCGAACTACTGCTGATGATACAAATCCTGCGTTACCTGAAGGACCCTTAACTATGGGGATTGTGGTATATTCCTTATTATGGGGTAGTGCAGGATTTTCTCAACCATACCAAGGCCACAAAATCATAGCACCCCCTAGAGAAACCCACTGGAGCCTCTCGACGCTCCGAAAAGGATCCCTTACCGGAACCCTTAGCAGAACCCTTAAAGGAACCCCTTGAATACCCTAAGGCCTAAACCCGACACCCTAAA